GCCGCATGTACAATGGCTGACTCGAGCGATATAGCCATAGCCATCGCTCCAGTCGTCACGGAGACCGGTGTACTTAGACATCTTGGCCTTCGGAGAGATGCCGACTTCCGTCCCAGCATTTATTTTCTCGCTATTATTTTGAACACCACACAGCCATGCCAAGCGAACGTTACTTTGTATGCCGTACTGACAAAATCCCAGACAAAGGAAACAAAGAGACCAAGCACTGGCGCAAAGAAGAGGTGGCCGAGTGGTCCAAGGCGCCGCATCCTCCGATATTGTCTTAGACTTCTGCGGTCTGTTCTAAGAACAGTCGTGGGTTCAAATCCCTCCCTCTTCCCTTTTTGCTTTTCTTCTCCCTTGCATGCATTTCTTCTCTCTTGCATGCTTTTCTTTTGCTTCAATGCATCATCCGCGCCTCCAAGGAGGGAAACGAAGCGGGTGCTGTTTCTTTTTTTTGCCCCTCCTCCTCCTTTCCGGAAAAATTGACGCCACCAAAATCATTTCTGCTTTGTTCGGGGTGACTGAGACATGGGCCGTTAGCAATTGGCACTCGTCAAGGACGAAGAACGACCTTACCATTATCCATGCCTTCCACTTTAACAGTACTTCATGGTGCCTTTTCTCTCAATTGTGTTAAGCGTGCTCACAACAATAGGGTTGTCCTCTCTAACTTCCGCCTTGTAGATTCTTTTTTTTGTTTTTTAAGGGAAAGCGACGGGTAGATCCACCCTCCGCGCCACCGCATTTTTTTTTTTTTTCGTGGGCAATTTATTTCTCTATCCGCGCCACCGCATCATCACAGCCCGAAAAAAACTCAATGTTTCTTGTTTCGGCTACAAGCACGCACAAACAAAACCCCAGGCCCAAAAAACCATGAACAACAAGCAAAAGAAAACGAGGGGGTGGCCGAGTGGTCCAAGGCGCCGCAAAGGCACTCTTTAACGTTGATTCCTCTTGGATTCAATCATTGCGGTCTGTTCTATGAGCAGTCGTGGGTTCAAATCCCTCCCTCCTCTCTTTTTGCTTTTAGTTTGTTTGTGTTCAATTCTTGCAATGCTTTTCTCCTTTGCTCCAATGCATCATCCGCGCCTCTAAGGAATGGAAGGAGTGGTGTTGTTGCTTTCTTCTGTGCTTTGCCACTTTCTCTTCTTTTCTATGCTACTCACAGAAAAAAAAAATGACGCCACCAAAATCATTTCTGCTTTGTTCGGGGTGAGACATGAACCGTTGGCAGGAGGCACTTGTTAACGAAAGGCGGCCATGCCATTGTTCACACCTTTCACTTCAACAGTACTTGATGCACTTTTTTTAAGATATATTAAGCATACTCGCAACAGTTGATGCGGAAGAACGGCTGTCCTCACTAACTTCTGTCTGTTCATTTCTTTTTTTTTTTTGCCAGAAAAGCTCTTGTTCCTTTTTTTTTGAGGAGGCGGCTCGTCTATATCCTCCGCGCCACCGGGTCATCGCCACCCGAAAAAAAATCCAGTGCCTTTGAAGTCGGGATAAGCCTTTATCGACCACAAACACACACAAACAAAACCCGCGACCAAGAAAACGAAGAACGACAAGCAAAAGAGAATGAGGAGGTGGCCGAGTGGTCCAAGGCGCCGCAAAGATATCTCTTTCAATTTGATTCCTCTCGGACTCAAGTCAATGCGGTCTGTTCCAAGAACAGTCGTGGGTTCAAATCCCTCCCTCCTCTCTTTTTGCCCTTTGCTTGTTTGTGTTCCATGCTTGCAATACTTTTTCTCTTTTGCTCTAATGCTTCATCCGCGTCTCCAAGGAGTGAAGTAAAGAAAGGTGTTACTGTTCTCTCTCTTTTTTTTTACGTTGCCTCCCTCTTCTCGCGAAAATTTTAGACGCCGCCGAACCAGTTTCCATTCTTGAACTGCTGCTGTTTAGTGTTATTGAGAGAATGAAAAAGATGCTTTCATCTAGAACTGCCTCTCTTGATGAAAGTATGGATCGAAGACTATTGCTGTTTATTTTTCAGATATGTAATGCAAAAGTACTCGGCAGATGGCACAAGATATGATAGTCAGACTACCACTTACCCTTGCTCTTACCCTTCTTCTTTTTGCTAGAGTTGGAAGAGCTCTTGGCCTTGGCAATGGCAGCAACATCAATAACCTCCTCAACAACAGGAATCTCCCGAACAGGTGCAGCAACGGGGGCGATGGGCTCGCGTCCGGCAATTCTAGCACTACCAGTACCTCCAATTCCGCCACCCTCCAAGTTCAATCCCTGAGGTCCCTTGCCCATATCCTTTCTGGAGCCACCGCCAGTCTTGCGGGTTCTTGCAAGACGAGCAGCTGCGCGGTCACGCTTGGGCAACCATCTCTCAGGATCAGGTGTTCCGGGCGCAGCGGGGTTGTAGTTCTTGGGCAACAAAGGCTTGCGCTTCCTGAGGCGACGAGCTCCAGTACGACGAGGTCTTGATCCGGGACCCAGAGGGCGACGACCACCACCAATAGCAGCGCCTCCAGTGTTCTCGGTTGAGACATATTCGCGCTTCAATCCGGGGACAACTCTCTCAAGAGCTTCGACATCCAAGGCCATCACGTTCTTCATCTCGGGCAAAGACGCTCCATACTTTTCGGCAAGAGTAGGCTCAAACTCAGAGTAGGCCATAATCAAACCAGCAATGCTGGCAGGATCAGAGGGATCGGCACGGACAAGTTCCTCGTAGTCCTTGGCAGCGTCCTTGTAGCGGTGCGAGCGCAGTTTGAAGGCTGCGGTCTGTCTCAACAACGTCAAAGGCAATGCTGTTCCTGATCTCGATTCCTTGTTGTTCTTGGTCCAAACAGCGCTAGCCTCGCTCAACAGATCGACGCCCTTCTCGCCCTGACCGGCCTGATCGTACAACCAGACCAACAATGCGACGTAACCGGGGCGATGCTGCTCCTTCTCGGGCAAAGTCTTCAAGAACCGGGTCAAGGACTCGATAGCAGCCGTGTAGTCCTTTCCGTCAATCAACTCCAGCTGGACAATCGCAAACTGGATAGCAACGGAATCGGGCTTGATGGCGGCAAACGCCTTCAGCTCCTCCAAAGCCTTGGCGGTCTTCTTTTGGCGGTGCATAGTGGCAGCAAGGATGAGGTACAGAGCATCGTTGTCGGGCTGGGACTTGAGCAACTGCTGGGCGGTATCACGGCAGGCAGCAAACTTGTTCTGATAGAGCTGGAGCAAGAGCTCGTTCATGGCGATGGTTCTCTTTTGGGACGACAGGAACTTGACTCCGAGGGCCTTAGTATTGGCAGACTTGATCTTTTTGGTCGAGTCGAAAAGATCATCCTCCTTCTGGATAGCGACCAAGTTGTTGGCAGCAACGGCGGGAACAGTGACTTCCAAAGCCCTAGTAGTTAAAGAATAGTAGGAAATGACTGTCAGCAATTGCTTCTACAAACAAAAGTTGCTTCCTGTTCACAGTCCATGTCACACAAATGAAAAGGGATACATACTTGATCTTGAGAACCGACTGGTAGAGCTCGCGGGCCTGCTCGGTGCGTCCAAGCAATTGGTAGACATAAGCAGTCTGGACAATAAGGATAGCCATCTCTTGCTCAATCTCCTCCTCATCGTAATCGCTCAAAGACTCACGGCAGAGAGTCTTCGCCTCTTCCAGCAAAGCAAGGGCCTGAGTGTAATCACCCTGCGAAATACGAGCACAAGCCGAGTTGAAGCTGAGCTCATAGGTCGTCTTGGTCACATCTTCGACCTTCCAGCGATCATCCAGAGACTTTCCAGAGTAGAGAACAGCGGCCTTGCAGGCATTAAAGTTGGTCAAGATGTCGTTGTAGCCGTCGTCGGACTTGGGTGTGTCCTTGAGCATTCCAGCATAGAGCTCAATACACTCCTGGTAACGCTCCATGCGATACAACATCTGGGCTTCCAAATGACGCAAATCCCAGGAAAGCTGACCTCCAGTAGACTGAGCCTGCTTGCGGGTCGTCTCGATCAAAGTGGCGCCATCAGAGAGCTGGTTGGTGCGGTAGAGGCAGTAGGCCTTCTCAAAGACAAACTTGCCTTCAAGTCCACGGTTGAGGATAGCAAGGGCGTCAGAGTAGCGCTCCAGACGGATCAATGTAATGGCCTTGCAGTGCAGCGCGTCCTTGTCCTTGGGGTTGACCGCGAGAACTGTTGGTTGACGGTAAAAGGAGAAAGGGCGGAGGGGAGGGCGTTAGACTAGAATCGCGAGTCAAGAGCAAAAAAGATCTTGCTAGCGAGATGAAAGGCACATGTGTATTTACTCTTGTCGCTAATCGTGAGAACTTTGTCGTGCTCCTCGCGCTTGACATGGCGTTCGAGCTCGCCAAAGAGCTGTTGGATGTTGGCCATTGTAGTAACAGGGGTGTGGAGGGAAGTGCGTTGTGTGAAATCAGGATGCCAGTTGGTTTAGATGATGATCTCTCGCTGTGAGGGCTGCCTGTGACTGTGACTCGTGATATCATTAAGGTCGAGGAGCGACATGTTGCCACGAAATAATTCTTGGCGTATTTTTTCTTTCTTTTTACCCCCTCTCAAGCCCATCCTCGACCTTCCCTCAACTCAATAATTATGTCCGCACCTGCCTCCTCCGCCTTACCGCCCCAACCAGAAACCGCAAAGGCATTGGGCATTCCCGAGATCACCTCCCTTGTCGGACAGCACCTCAGCAAAGGGGAACTGGCCTCTTGTGCTCTTGTTGCCCATGCCTGGTTTCATGTCTTTACGCCGATCCTCTGGAAATCCATACAAGCCGGTCATCCGAGTCCATACAACCATCGCAACCAGGACCGGGACCACGTTGACCCTGACACAACCGGATCTCGCTCGACGCTATCCAAAAATGGCACTTTTATGAGGATATTGACTATTATCCCCGAGTCTCCTGATACCGAGATCTCCGACCTGGACGTTATATCCGATTGTCCGGCCGTTGACTCCCTTGTTCAATTGACCATCACCCTGGAGAGGGGTCAACAAACATCTGTCGATAATCTAGTCAGGCGCAATAAGAATACCCTCCGTCTTCTGAAACTGGTCCTTCACGTGGAGAAGCGTCTGCGACCTGCTGGGTGGCTCGGCGAGCGCATGTTTGAGTTCCCAAGGATGGCACCCTGCCTGCAGTCGCTCTATCTGGAGTTCTGGTGCATGAGTAAACAGGAGCTAGTCTTGATCCTCAAAGGCTGCCCCACCCTTAAGTTGCTCTCTCTTGGCAACGTTCACATCCAGGACCAGACAGACAACACTGGCGCCCAACTGATCAAGCAGGATGCCGACGGCGATACGGTGGAGACCTTTCAGCACCAATCTATCGAGACATACCGAATGTGTTCAAGTCTCTGTCTCATCCTAGAGCACCTTCCCAAACTCAAGCTCCTCGAGTTCTACAGGTTCGACCGCCAGATCAAGGAAGAAGATCTCCAGCAGTTTTGTACCTCAATGCGAACCCATTGCCCAGACCTCCAGGACGTGTGGGCATACGGATTCGAGTGCTCGATGCTCCCAGCAGTCCTGGACAGCCTTCCTCGCCTCATCAACTACCGCGGATCCAGTGACTTGCCGACAGTTCTTTCGATGCTGGACCATGCTCTGACCTTGGAGGACGCTAATCTTTCGGATTATACCGAAAGAACTTTTTTACCGCTACAGTTTCTGGAATCTTGCCCACGGCTCAGGTCCTTCTGGACTGGGCACTCCCTGACGACCATGGACGAAGTCCTACACTCCATCAGACGCGGATGGGCCTGTCAGTCAACGCTCAAGGAACTCCGCCTCAGTATCTTCAAACTCTCGCCCATCTTGATCGAGGCCATCATGCGGCAATTGAATGCGACAAGATCTCTCGATTTGAAACAACAGCAACAGGCAAGGCTACGGGTGGTGTGTGGAGATGTGAGGCTGGAGGATTATGAAAGACAAAAGGAGCAGCAGCTACTGGACGCGATCCGTACACTTGCGCCGGCTCAGGAGAACTTTCGACAGCAGCTTGTGGCGTTCTTGGCGACGCTTGATAAACTAGAGCGGCTCAACTTTGGCACTGGATGGTATGTCTTCAGGTAGAGGGCGGGCCGTGTACAGTATTAACGCGAAGACGCCATAATAACGAGCCAGTGCAATCAAATAAATATTTCCGGCGTAGCACAAGTAGTGGCGCTTCTTTTCTCTCTTCTCTCCCAAACATAACAAAATGGGCGTTTCCTAAAAGGAAACAATAGCTTGAAAAGACGAAGAAGCACTGCGTGGCTGGGTGAGCAATCCAACCGCTTCCTGAGCTCTGCCTCAGTATGATAGGATTCATAGGAAGAGCCGACATCGAAGAATCAAAAAGCAACGTCGCTATGAACGCTTGGCTGCCACAAGCCAGGTATCCCTGTCGACAAAGCTAAAATTGGAGAAGTGCTTGGAAGTGACAGGGAACAAAGCAAAAAGTGGTAGAATGTCAGTCGGCATTCTAAAAACAAAGGGACGGCGGCAAAGGACTGTGTAAGTGATCGGTCGACAGGAAGTTCGAATGTTTCCTCAGTTCCCTTGAAATTTTCTTTGTGCTACCAAGGTTGATCAATCCGTCTCATTCTTTTTTACGCCGTGTTTGAGCTTGGTGCTGTGTATTGCAATGGCAGCACAGCGCCATTGCAACCACCTCCTGCTCGTACCAATTCGATTGCCAAGAAGGCCTCGTCTGTAGGTATTGTGCTGGCAGCGCATCGAGGAGGGGGG